CTTTTTAACTATTTGGTATCCTGTCGTGCACCTCATTGTCACCAGCTGGAGCCTTCGTTTCTCAGAGATTTAAGGTGTTAGCTTCTGATCGGGTCTTATCTGCTCGCTGAGAGTGATTCTGCTGGAGGCTCATGTGCTCTAGTTTGGGTCTGAAATCGATTCTTTCTCTTCCACCAATGTTTATAGAGGTTGATGTTTTAAGTTTGAGTTAAGTGTTGGTTTGTGCCTGAAGTATTTCAGAGGTGCTCCACCGTCAGTTGTTTGCTCTGGTCAGTCGGTTCTTAGTTTTTTGTATATGGTTCATGAGTTGTTGGGGTGGTAGGTTTTTGTTTTACTTCGATTGAGGATGATTAGGTCAAAGGCTGTGCCTCGTCGTTGTTGTCGCCTTTTCTTTGGTTCTCGTCTTAGGTTACTTGGTTAGATTTTTCAAGGTTGTGGCTGTAACTCCCCCGATCATGTGGTGAAATCTCACCGCAAGGGAGTGCTACCGCAACACTCAAGAACGGACGGACCAAGTCTCAAAAACTTATTAAACGCTCCAGCCCTATCCATTCAAGAGCGTTCCTTCCATCTGAGCCGACCTAAGGCTTGCCAACTCGTATCAGACCATACGGTTAGTTCGGTCCGAATAGGACCTAGAATCATTATCACTTGATAATTTTTCGTAAACACTTGTTTTACTTAATATAGTTTTTATAGACAACCGTTGTAAAATCTTAGAGAGTTTTCGGAGCCGAGGTTAAAAATTTATATAATAAAAACTATCATTTTGCAAGACACCCAAAACCGCCTAAGTATGCTGATCCTATCATCCAACACCCCACACTAAGGTTTTTCCCCGTCTATGGTTACCTGCAACAAAAGAGTGCGAATGAGTAATTGCATTACTCAGTGAGTCAGGATCTCCTATACGGTTTTATATATATGAACCCGCCCAATTCTCCGTTAAGCAAACAGTCGGCTTTTGTCACGCTTCTGACATCCTTTTACGTCTTATGAAGTTTGGCCTCTTACTCCGTAGGGTCACTGGTACCTTGGCAACCCTCCTCCTTACCGTCGCTAACCGTTCATTCTATTCTGCTTTGACGCTACACCTCGTCGTCCCTATCCCCAGTATTTATGACCTAAACCATTGGGTTCCCGTCCTAATCCGTCCTTGTCCACTAATCTCTTCCTTTGTCCTACGGTAGTACTCCCTAACTCCTTCCTTGCCGCCTTGTTGCCCCCACTGATTTTTCTTCGATAATCTCCTTACTTCTTAATTTTCCAATCTCGACTTTGGCAGAACTTGGACGTTCATGGGCGATCGGTCCAAAAATCAAGGGAAATGGTTCTTTAAGATTACTAAGGACGATACTTCGACGCTTAGGCTCTTTGACTTAACATTCCATAAGCCTAACTCTAGATCTCAAATTACACCTTAAGTTTAGTAAGAATTCCAATTTTTCTTGTCTCAAAAGAAAATGGCTCCATGCCTTCTTTAATAAGCTAAACTAATTTTTCCCAAAACTAGAACCTTCGGCTCATCATCTACGGAAGCCTACTCTAAATCTTCAAATCATACCGTAACGAATTCTCAATAATTCTCATACCCATCACTTGGGTAATGACTCATCTTATTCTCCCCAAGATTACCCCGAATGAAACTCCCCGATACTAGGCCTACGGCTTATCATCTACGGAGGCCACACACATCTCGAATTGTACCTTAATGGATTCTCATCAATCCCTATATCCGCTACTCGGAAAATGACTTGGCTCATTCCCTATTAAAGTTCAAACGAAACTCGTCCTCACAGCTTAATTTTTCCAGTTTCTACGGTTCCTTTTCCCTTATAATCTAAATGCACTTACCCCTAAGTTAGATCACGCGTCCTTAAGCTCAATCCACTATCCGCTCCATCCTTCTCATTTCGCGGGTCTCATCATTCTCAACACTATCATGCACTTATCAATTATTCGACATGCCACGAATGGAAATTTCGCGTATGCACGTCTAACCCTAAACATTTATGCAAGCAATAATATAAAGCAGGGATTAACGAAATAAAACACCACATTTCTCGCATAAGGTTCAAACACAAATCCGAGATAACATAAAAGTCTCGCGGGTCAAATCCATCCCACATAAACAAGTCATTTGGGAACCATACATAGAAAACGGGTTCCATCCGTAACCGCAAACCATAAAACTAAAAATTCAAGTTTTCACTCACTCACAAAGGAGGTTAGAACCCAATTTACCTCGGCCCATTGCCACATTAGGGCGAGGGAGATCTAGGGAGTCTACACCTAGAGCACAACTTCTCCTCTACGGGTTGTTGTTCTGAGTACTGACCAGTTGCCGGACGAGTCGATGACGGGCGAGCAGTAGGGATCCTTAAGACAGGGTGAGTAGTTGGGCAGGAGGTGGCGTAGTGTCCTAGAGCTCCACAAGTGAAGCACGTCACCTGTCTTACCGCAGACACCGAACCTCTCATGCGCAGAACGTCAGTACAGGATTGGTTCCGATGTGCATAGCACCCACAGAGCCGACACACATAGATGGAGGGGATGGCGGTCCAGATCCATGCAAATAGTATCGGCTATGCTCTGCCGATCCATGGAAGAACTCATCACTCGATCCTTGTAACACTTCTCTTTTGAACGTCCCCGTAGTGTACATCTACGTCTCGGGGTTGACGAACCCTCTCTCTCCCCACAAATGCCTAAATTCCTCCGGGCTAGACCCACTCGCGTGCTCTCTGACCCTTGCGGGTCCAATCTAATAGCCTCTGCCCACGTCTTACTGCGCGATGAGTGTCCTTATCCCAAGGTTGTCCGTCCCCCTTGACGCGCCAGCCCCACCAGGTCTTCTCCCACTCGGGTCATCGACCTAACATCTGGAGTGATGGGTGAGTCCTCAGTCTTGGGCGGTTTCACTCCCCAGTACGCATCCCAATATTCGCCCAAACCCTAATTTATCTCCCGGAGCTTCTCCTGGTGCTGGGGGGACAAGTCTCCAAATGTGGGTGCCCGCTCGGGGAGTAGAGGCATTGGGATCGGAGACTCCACCTGGGCCTGACTATCCGCACGCTCCACGGACTTAGCACTGTCCGAAGAGATCTCGAAGATCGATGGAGAGTTTGGCGCAGAGACAGATGGTGAAGGTAGCACGAACCTACGGACATCCTGCTCTGAATCCTCCATGGGATCCTCCTCTGGGTCCTATTCGGGCTTGGGCCCCGAAATTACCGGCTCAAATGGCAAAAAAATGCGGCTCACTACTCCCGACTGCCCAGTCTCCCGCGAACTGCCCATATCCTCCATCATGATCCTAGCTATCTCACCCGATAAATCCTCACTGCTAGACGGAGCCACTACCACGGGCCGAAACCCCCCCCCCCCCTCATGACTCTCCTCGGCGGCATTTTGATCCTGAATCAACAAAATGGGTAAATTCCTAGAAAAAGAAAGAAAAAATCCCTCTACCTAATGCATTGGACGAATCAGAAATTGGTGTTCTTGCGACTAATTTCTAATATAAAAATCATCAAAACTTAAGTGTTACGCATGCTAGAAAGCCATGCTCTAATACCACCTAATTCAGGGTTGTAACACCCCCAATCATGCGGTGAAATCTCACCGCAAGGGAGTGCTACCACAACATTCAAGGACGGATGGACCAAGTCCCAAAACTCATTAAGCGCTCTGGCCCCATCCATTCAAGAGCGCTCCTCCCATCTAGGCCGACCTAAGGCTTGCCAACCTGTATCAGACCATACGGTTAGTTCGGTCCGGACAAGACCTAGCATCATTATCACTTGATAATTTTCCAAAAACAGTTGTTTTACTTAATATAGGTTTTATAGAAAACCGTTTTAAAATCTTATAAAGTTTTCGGATCCGAGGTTAAAATTTTATATAATAAAAATTATTTTGCAAGACACCCAAAACCGCCTAAGTCTGATGATCCTATCGTTCAACACCCTACACTAAAGTTTTTCTCCGTCTATGGTTACCTGCAACAAAAGAGTGGGAATAAGTAATTGCATTACTCAGTGAGGTAGGATCTCCTATATGGTTTTATATATATGAACCCGCCCAATTCCTCGTTAAGCAAACGGTCAACAAGCAATCAAGCAGTCCGACTAACACTCAACCAGGCTAAACACTTGGACTATGCGATGCATATCCTACATGAATGTCATTTCGGAATTCAATTCTCAACACAAAGGCTTTGCAGTCCCATCGTCTATTCCCGGGCAATTCCTGGAAACGCAACCACAAAGGCACACGAGACCCAGTTCCACACCTCGGAACTCTAGCACCGTTGTGCCAGCACGGCCAAGGGAGCGACCCAAGTACTCTCTGAGCTACGTGGTTAGCCCATAGCACCTCCCATGCCGTTAGCCACGTCTTTCCGGGAACGTCGGAGTGCCAATCATAACTTATCCACGAGTATGCGCTACGATTTACATGCTAACACCCATCACGTAATGTATTGACTCATCACCCAACACATTACTTCGTGCACTCTCTTCGTATCACTTACGCACTCTCACAACATGTCAAAACAAGACTAACGAATGCGTAGACATACATGTAATCACTTGACATAAACCGTTCATCAATCACAACACGACTAAGTATCAATAATCAACAACAAGATACTTAACAAAGCAAGCGATACGGTTAACTAAAGATCAAGCAACACACAACAACCTAGCTCATTCACACTAGACAGAACAATCATCCTCATTCAAAGACTACGAACTAGGGCAAGCAGAATGATTCTTTTACAACAAGCTTATACCCTTAACAATCGTAGAACGGTAGTCAATCACACAACAAGCAACTAGTTCTCGCAAACAACTTTATATGTTTCCCTAGGAAATCTATCACATTGCAACACGGTGAACCTAACCGATTCAAGTTCTACTTCATGCAACCTAGAGGATAGATTTCGCACACACAATTGAACAGCATTTATGCTATACATCATATCTAACCAGATGAACGAATACGTCAAATGCGGTTCAATGATAGATTTAATGATCAAACGGTACAGATCTATTAACACATGCATCGGATGCTAACCGCGAACGAATTTATAGTGCAAGCAGTACGGTAATGGGATAACACTACGAACAACCGGATGCATGAAAGTGTCAACACGGTTCGAGTGACGGATCTAATCCGCAAACCAAACGTTCTCTTACCATTAGCTTATCTCATCCCAATGGATGTGAGCATCCGCATGATCCTCGCGGCAAATCTAGTTTGCAACCCACTCGGATATCCATCGCGTCACAACCCACGACATGAATGCATGCAACTAAACGTGTCCGATTACACGATCTAACGAATCATTACCATGAAATATTAATGCATGCGATACAAGTGAATGTATAAAGAATCTACCGAAACGTCAACACATAACCCGTGAGTGTTTGGCTCAACCAACACACTCGGGTCTACATTCACTAACATCGTCTCGACACAATGAAGCGAGTGCATGCAACCCGACATAGTAAACGAGAAATCGTAATGAAAAGGAAGAACGATCTACGGGTGTTCGACTCATCAATACCCAGATCCATCCTCACCTTGAGTTGTCGCGGCGGATGATTGAGTTGAGCAGAGTCGCAGATTCCTCTAGCCTTCAACGGTTCGGGATCTACAAGAAGTTCTACTTAGATAACAAAAGTAACACGAACAATACTAAGGGATAATCGGAACCAAAGATCTTACCGGATCGCTTAACCAAATCAGATTAACCTAGTTCTAGAGAGATTTTGGCAAAAAATTGGGATAGAAAACGAGAATAAGGGAAAACGGGAATGTGAGGCTCTATTTATAGAGGGAGAGGTCGAATTCTCTCAGCCTCAGCGCACCCAGCGCATGAATGACACGTGAGGAGTCAGTCTGCCGCCCATCCTTAAGCCAACCGCCGGCCAGACCGCGTCTGACACGTGGCAAAACTGTCTTGCCGCCCAACTTGGTCTACGTACTGCCCAGAGCATGGAAGACACGTGGCAAAATGGTATACTAACTCTTCTCAACCGCACGCGGACTGCCTTGATTCGACGCTTCTCCAACGCATGATGGACACATGGCGAAGTCGTTTAAAAGACCCAACCATGGCCTATCTTTATTTACCATGACGACGATGTTACCTGCGACGCGATGATCTCGACCCGTGACTCGAGCGTCTCGTTCCGCGATACGACATCCCTTTATCACGACACAAGGACTACTTTACCGCGACGCGAAGACCTTACCGCGACATGGCCTTCCTTTACTGCGACATGAGGATCAACACTCGCGACACAAAGCTCTTACCGTGACACGAGTGGCTCGATCAGCGACACGGTATTCCCTTACTGCGACACGAGGAGGCTCGACCCGCAACACGGCGAGGATAGTTCTAATTTTCGGCGTCTTTGTCTTAACATGTAGGTCTATCTTCATTGCTTAGGTCGCATGGTCTTTATCCAACTTTGTGTCTGTCTTTGTTTCTTGTTACTTTTTTAGGCTTCAACCACTTTAGTGTTGGTTAGCTTGTTGTCTCTACTCTTCAAATAAATTTGAGATATGCTCTATCCTTTGGATTCTTTTAAGGTGTGATAAAAAATTATTCCTTTTCTACCGTCTTTGGAAGTTTGGTTGGGGTACTTGTTTGTACATTTTTTTGTCGAAGTTTAAAGCCTTGGCCTTGGTTTATTGATGTAGATTTGATTCACTATAAGAGGATTCATTTTTCAGTATCTATCGATGTGTTTGTGATAATTTTTAGATATGTTTGTTAGGGTTATTTTCCTAATTTTAGATTAATATTTGGTGTATAGTTGTCTAAAAGACCTTTTAATTCTCTTTGGGATTAATATTTTCTCAGATGACAAAAAAACAATTTATCTCGTTTTAAAATACTTAATTAGATGCATCACAATGTTTGTGTTTTAAAACTTTGAATCAACAGTTATAAAAAAAAGCTAGTGGTGATATTTTTGAAACAAAAATTTAAAAGTGTAGTATATATATTTAAGAATCACATTTTCTTAGTTACATGAAAGCCACAGTCAGGAAAACATGATAGGGGTGCTTCCAACGGCTCTCCGACGCTCAAGTAAAAAAAGAACAAAAAAAAAAGATGAAAGACCATGGGAATCGTGAAGTTAGGTAAAAAGGTTGAAAAACGAGAAAAATGTAAATAGTAATACCACACCAAACAAGTGATGATCAGCGACATATCATAGAGGTTAGAGTGAGAAATTTATGGTGAGGCAGAGTGGAAAACAAAGTATTTAGAAAAGAAAATGGTCAAGGAAAAACTAGGAATGAGAGATGTTTGAAAATCTTTTTGAGAGAATGTTCATAAACAGTCGGAAAAAGACGAAGGCCTGAAAAGATTGGGCCTTACTGTCGAGAAAATGGGCTTTGAGTGTGTTTTCTGGAATGGAATTCAGATCCTCTTCTGAAGTAAATTACTGAATTTTTAATAGATTTTTATATGCGTGGATTCGGATTCCGGATTCCGCAACCTTAGTTGGGTCGGATTATGAATCTCATGTTTGACCTCATACGATGCACTAGAATGCTTTTCACCTAACAAATTTGTCTTTTCATGACAGTTAGCCGACAATACAATTCTACGTCGTTGAACTTGGCCTTGTGTATACTAGTGGTAGCATTCTGGTGCAGCGGATCTGACGTCGGGTTGCTCCCTAAAATCCTTTATGTGTGTTTTAATCGTTCTCTGAATAGGGACCACTTGCTTTTACCTAATATGCATAAGGTGAAAATTTATGACTCCTTGGCTGGAGACCTAGCTTAGATATATGAAAGATTGGGTATCGCGTTTAAGGAAGAGGTTTCATACCTGGCCTGAATTCCTAATACGAGAACTAGGGCTCAATGCTGATGGGGGTTCATGTTCGTCTTACCACTTAGTCTCTGACCTCGATCATCCCTGGTATCATGGCCATTATCCAGGACGAAAATCTGTTAACGGTGGTTTTATTCATCAAGTTGCTTGTGTCATTATTGATTTATGTTAAATACCTTTAGGGTTCGATTTAGTAGACAAACTACACAACTAGCAATAAGAAATTCGTCTAAACTAAAAACACATAGCGTTAGATGATTTGCTTTATTTTAAAATAATTATTTTTTTGAGATATTTTGTATTTTAATAAGCTACATAAATAAAAATATAATAATTAAAAACTATAACATGTAAGATGGTATATAATAGAATGTTTCTATTAGAAAGTCTAATATCATTAGCTCCGAAGCATTGCCTTTTGTTTATTAATTTTAGGGGGTTGATAATTTATAAAAATAAAAATTACTATATATGGTTCTCAAAATTAAAACATCAAATCAGCGGTGGTTTTGATTGTCAAATATGTTATGCACGGAAATGTATGTAATGCGCTGAAGGATGACAAATGTCTCGAAACATCTGGAGAACGTCTGTAATCATTAACAAATATGCAATCATTATATACACATAAATTACAATACTACAGTTTAGAGTTTACTAATTGAAATAACTCTATGCAATATCCACAAGTACACGTATACAGAAAATTACAATGTAAGAGAATATATTCATAAGTCTGCTGTCTACTATAACATCTATGTATTGATCATTTTAAATTCGTAGGATTAGTGAAATCAATTAATGGCTCTCGTGTCAATATCTTACAGCACTATAATCGTAATCTTACCGGTGACCGGCCTACTTTTTTGTTTTGTTAATAGAGTGGATATAATCTAACAAAGATTTGAAGAGTATTAGTGGAGAACAAGGACGAAACAAAGCTAAGTGCAAGAAACTTATGTGGTTTGAGTCATAGATCAAACATTATGAGGTTTCTCTGTCTGGTCTGATTAATAAAAAGGTATGTTTAATAATAGTGCGTTTTTAACATATTCTAAATCGATTTTTGGGGAAGTCAATCATAATCAATATTCTCCCAAAAGATCTCCCATTAAATGTGTCCCAGACGTAAGACAATGGTTTTTTGGGGGGGGGGGGGGGGCGCTCTTTCAAACAATCTATTTGCCATCATTCTCACAAAGCCATGGTGACACTCTTGACTTCTATGCAATCAACTAATTTTATATAAAAGGCGAACGAAGTCTTTTTTTTTTTTTAAATAGGGGTAATAATGGTTTACGATATTACACATTTCTCGATTAACATTAAAATGACCAAGATTTGTTTGTTTAAAATTTATATTATTAGAAAAACACTTTACAAAGATTCTACAATTAAGAAAAAGTGCAAAAATATTTTGTAGAAAAAACTGAGACTAAAAATAATTATTATTTCTCATGTCTTGTAAACCGCTTTGAGTGTAATCTTTTTCAGAAAACAACTTAATTAAAAAATGCATATTGATAATATAAATAATCAAAGTAGTTTCTTAACTGTTTTTTTATTCATATTTTGATAAGAAATTAATACATATTAGTTTCACATATTTTGGACCTAGAGAGAACATTGAAAATATTGTATTGTGATTTGAAGTATAGTATCGACACTTTTAAGTGGACCAAGAAACTATGTATCAGAAATCATATAAAAATGTAAAAAACCTTGTATTAAATCGTAGAGCTTACATACAGTTGAACAAACATGCATATAAAGAAGGAAACGGAGTCGAAAGTGAGCTGAATCCTACTATATACAACGTGCTCTCGTCTATTTATAAAAATACACTAAAATAGGCAAAAATATCTTAACACAAGGAGAAGGAAATCATCATTATTGTCACTCTTGTTATCATTACAACCATATTTGGTGTGGTCACGATACAACCATATACTCCTATATATACACGTACGATTTTCAAATCAAAATCAAAATCAAATTAAGTAGAGAGCCACATGCCTTTTTACATATGTACCAGTATATGCCCGAAATTGCATTTCTCAGGATGGGGTCGGTAGCTGTTGGAAATTCGAATAAAAACGATGGATTTTTAGAAAAGTATGATTTTTAAATTTTTTTGAGGCAAATACCCTTTAACTAGGGTTTCTTTGTAAATCTTGTGAATGCATAACACAAACTTTTAGCTCTCTTTATGTAAGTCCCAAAAAAATTAATATGATTATAAATTTCATTGAAGAATTCCCTATCATACCACACTTTAAAATTTTGTTTCCAAAGGTACCACCATTTTTCAAATGTTCCACAGATACCACAAAGACAAAATTGATTTTCAAGGCTTTATAATTTAAATTTTTGGGTTTGAATTAACTATTGTAGACTTAAGGTATAGTTTTTAGGGGGTAGGATTTGGGTTTAGTTTTGAATGTTGAAATATAATTTTAGTTTTGTGGTATTTGTGGAACATTTGAAAAGTAATGGTACTTTTATAAATAAAACTTCATTTAGTGGTGTTTGTGATAATTTCCCAATTTCATTTTTCCTAATTGCATAGCATACCTCTCGCCATGGTATTCATATACAATTTTAGTTGAACACCTTTGAAATCACTCACCAAGTGGTTGGTGACTTAGTGGTCTTGAGACTTGAGAATGAATATTTAAGGTCGCTAGTTCAACTCTACTTGGGAAGAATGATTCACGCTTTAAATGTGGGATTATCAACGACTGGTCTTAGAAACTATTAGAAGAAAAGTTGTTATTCTTTATTAATGAATCGTTATCCTCGAATCTTGTTACATAATCTGGTTATATACACTAAACCAGCGTTCGGTACAGTAAACCGAGATAAAATTATATCAAACCAACATCTAATTCTAATAGAAACTGAGGAGATTATGGATCAATGATCTCGAACTCCCACGGTTTTTCCAAAAAAACAAAAAAAAGCCTTTGAAATCACTTAAAGATTTCAGTCACTTTGACAACATTATATGTGTGCTGGAGCCCAAATTCATGATTCGTCAAAGAGGATGTTTCTTTTACTATATATGTTGTTCATCAACTAGAGGGAATACAAAGCTAAGACTTAGTAGAAGATAAGGCTCAAAGCAAAAAAACCTTAGTAGAAGTAAAAAGATTGCTTATTCAGTTAAAAGCTTCGCCTTAGCCTAATTACACACGTTAAACTCTTGATTCATGGGCCCAATATCTAAAGATGCGGCAATATGCAAACTCTTTCAAGTTTAATATGGCGAATTATGTATGAACTATGGAAGACAATGAATCAGCGCATCGATCGCCAAGTACTCTACAAAGCTTATGCCTTGTGCTAATATACGTAGAAAAATTATTTTCTGATCCAGATCAAGATCGTCTTTTAGCACAAGTGTCTTGAATCAAAATCAATAAGTTTGTATTTATATTTTTTGAAATTTGCATATAAATTAGGGGTTCATTTAAAAAAAATTAGGATATTAAATCAATTTGTAATATATTAAAGTATTTCACAAGGCCTACAAACTCTTGCGAGCTCATGCACTCGTGCGATGAAGATGTTTCCTAATTTGCTT